TCCCAGAATGATTTGTTCAGTGTTAACAACATGTGGACCACTCTCCCCCTCATGACGATCCGATGAATCGGGACGTCGTGCTTTTATTCTTTTATTCTGCGGAAATAAAAACAGGAAAAACAAGCAGAATGTAAAGAAGATAATGTAGCCCCCCGGGGTCGTGAAGACACCCGTTATGCATGTTCATTTGACATATTCTATGCACACGTAACTACGAAAAATATGCAACTGACTAAATAAAACATGTTGATAATATAAAACAAGTTTAAAATAAACAAGGACTAGGCTTTGACCAACATTATAATAATAATTATTATTTATGCATGCAGGTTAAGTAATTAATTAAATGTTTTCTATTTTTGTTTGGGCAGTGATGTTGGCGGGGAAGGGCGCGGCGGAATGCAACGGCCATTCAGTTTGCTTGCCGTTCGAGATGCCGCCGTGCGGCAACTCGGTGGACTGCCGGTGCGTCCCGTGGGCGCTGTTTGGGGGGCAGTGCATCCACCCAAACGTGATGCCGTCGTACGCGAAGAAGATCGAGGAGCATCCCAACCTGTTGGGAATATTTTATGGTGTTCAATCTAGTTAGTTATCTTTGTATTTGTGTAGTTATAAATTAAACGTGTAATACGGGCCACAAATGTGTATCAACCCGTGGGCTTCCTTGTAACCCGTAAGTTAGCCAACTTCTCCTATAAAAGGAGGCTAACTTACGGGAACCCTAACTAATCGTGAGAGGCTTAGAAACGCAGAGGCGAGATAGAGAGAAAGATTAGGGTTGCCGCTGCTCTCCTTCTCCAGGGAGAGCAGCGGACAGTTCATACGGTATACCAGATTTGGTTATTAATCTTGTCGATTTCTTCCTATCTGCCTCTTTATAACTGCTATGTTTGTATGATTGTTTGTATTTTGGGATTAACATTTGGTATCAGAGCCGAGGCGTGAAACAGGTTGGATCTGTCTGCGATTTTTGGATCTAACGAAGAACTGCTCTGTTTTTTTCTTCTGTTTTTCTATATGTAGATATTTGCTCTTGTAATCTCGTTTGTGAACGAAATTTTGTAAAAATCATACTGTTGGACTCGCCTTTCAAAACCGATCCAGCAGCATACCTTTTTTTTCGTTTTCTGCAATTTTTATATTTCGAAGATCTCTACATTGAGATCTCGAAATCCTTATTTTTCACTGCTGCAGAAACGTTTTTGGCTTGAAACTGATACAGGAGAATCTGGACTTTCAGGGCTATTCAGAACAGGTTTCAGATTTTCAAAAATCAATGTTTTCGTTTCGCAGGATCTCGACATTTAGGGACTCGTTTTCTTCTTCTCGACTTTTGAGATCTCGAGATTTGCATCTCGACATCTTGATCTCAAGATTTGCATCTCGACATCTTGATCTCGAGATTTGCATCTCGACATCTTGATCACGAGATTTGAATCTCGAAATCTTGATCTCGAGATTTGCATCTCGACATCTTGATCTCGAGATTTGAATCACGAAATCAAGATCTCGAGATTTGCATCTCGACATCTTGATCTCGAGATTTGAATCTCGACATCTTGATCTCGAGATTTGCATCTCGACATCTTGATCTCGAGATTTGTAATATCGAGATCAAGATCTCGAGATTTGTAATCTCGAGATCAAGATCTCGAGATTTGTAATCTCGAGATCAAGATCTCGAGATTTGTAATCTCGAGATTTGGAATTTCGAGTTTAGGAATTTCGCGTTTTGGGATTTCGACATTTGGGATCTCGATGTTTTGGATCTCGACATTCTGAAGATTTCGAGATTTTCAAAATTTCTCGATGTTTTGAATCTTTCAAAGTTTGAAGTTTCTTGAAACTCATAATTCGAATCTTGACATCCTTTGCAGTTCATCGAAGCTTTACATTATAAGGATCTCTGAATGATTCCCTGCTTATAAATGTTTCAGGAGTTTTCGATGTTTTGATGTTTTTCAAACAGCAAGTTTTCGAGATTATGAGGTTTTCGAAACTCCAAAGTTTTCGATGTTCAAACATTTTGAAATTCTGCAGATTTCGATATTCTGAGGTTTGTTTTGCAGGTGGATTTCGCCATTATTCTTCGAGGCAACCTCGAGATTGTAATCTCGAGATTTAAACCTCGAGATTAGGATTTCGAAATATTGCCTTAGACTTTTGTTTAAAATCCACTTGCTCTCGACATTCATCATCGAGAACCTCAACTTCGAAGAAATTCCTCAAAAACTCAAAATTAGAGATTTTCTGCGACACCGCACTGTTTTGGCCATAACTTTTGACTCGGTGATCCGATTTGAGCAAACTTTTTTTGTTAGAAAGCTAACGAAAAGATCTACATTAATTCTGGGGCTATGCCCCAGAACCCATTCTCACGCGCCCTCACTCGCAGTCTTTGAGGGTCAAAACGTTAGTTTTCCGACAAACATTCTAAATCACCGATGTCCAGGTCAAAACTTAGGCTAATCTGTTCATATTCTTTCAATGTCAACCCTGAGGTCAAAGCTTTTCTAAACTTCAATGAAAAGGTCTGAAAATCGCCGATAATTCAATCAACCTCGCGTCAACGGTCATCTTACAACAATCAACAATCAACTGTTGAAGCCTCCCCTGACTCGTCAACATTATGTGATCATCAATATGCTGAAATTCTACATGGTGAGCTCAGGGAAACCATCATGTGTGGTACTTGTTCAGATTGCTCCACACACATGGCGGGTATGATAAGCTGTGAGCAATCAAACCTTGCACATTTTGAGGGGGAGTTTCAGTTTTCTCCTCCTGGCGCCTTACACCGACAAAGCAAGGAATCTCTCAAAGGATGCAACATTTTAGGGGGAGTATTCAATGTTATCCTTCCCGGTGCCTAACAATGACAAAGCATACTGAGTGCTCCAGTTGAGGGGGAGTATAGAGAGAAAATGGAGAAAGTAATGAGAGAACATGTCCCTATGGCTTAGTAAACCCAACTAAGCCTACCTAAGTGACAAAGCCGAGCGTAAGTGCGTGCGTGAGTGAGCGAGTGAGTGAGTGAACATTATGAGCATTAGGAAGCAGAAGGCTCAAGTGAGAAGAAAAACAATTATCAATGACGAGTCTGCTACCTCAATTGCCTGCTATGAATTGAACATTTGCTCCTAGCCACTAAAATACTTTGGACTATCCACATAGGTTCAGGACTGAATTTATTCAGATCCCGGGTAGAAGTCGCTGCATTTTGTCCAAACGGCGCATGCACAACCCTACCCTAGACCACTCACTTGTCTCCCAACAGACAGGTGTTTAATCATAGTTCACGGGGAACCGCATCTCTCATTACTGTCTCCTTCCGAGGCAAGTAATACTGACTACAGTGGCCTCAGCCCCATGCCACTGAACTTTCATTGATCACGTCGTGTCTAGTTACTCACTCCCAGATGTTTTTGAAATTTTCTAGGACACAGACGCACTTTTAGAGTCAGTTGCAGGTCTACATGACCCGTGAGAACTTCCATAGGGCTCATCTATTACAGATGTAGACCAATAATTGGAAGGAAGTCCTGCTGTTGCAACATAAGAATCACCAACATTTTCACGCCATTGCTAAAGAGTTTATCTCTATAGTGCTGATAACGGGTGTCTTCACGACCCCGGGGGGCTACATTATCTTCTTTACATTTTGCTTGTTTTTCCTGTTTTTATTTCCGCAGAATAAAATAATAAAAGCATGACGTCCCGATTCATCGGAACGTCATGAGGGGGAGAGTGGTCCACATGTTGTTAACACTGAACAAATCATTCTGGGACACTTCACTCCTCCATCACAAAAATCAACACCCTCTCTGCTATCTCTACAACTCAAATCAAATGGTCAGCTGCACTCACAAATCAACAATCATTATGTTCCGTTGTGCCACCGACAAGTTCTCCTCAAATGCATTCATTCCAAATAGTCAAAAAGACTACATTGTGGAGGAGACAGAGGTCAAATACTCGTGTCCTGAAGATGAATTCCATGGGCGTCTCCTATTCTCCAAAGAATATTCATTCTAGAGACGTCACCGGACTTCATCCAAGCTGATCAAGAGCAACTTCTGGAAGGCAAGGACTACATGCAAGATACTGAAGGTCCCTCAACCCTCGACATCAAAGATCAAATTGTCAAGAAGACATCAAAGGGGAGATTGCAAGGATTTCTTCAGATAGCCTTCCTCAGAAGTCAAGTTCAAAGACAAAGGAAGCTCAATAACAACAAAGACAAAGATATCTGCGCTGCAATGCTGATTCAACACGATTGATCACCAAGGGGGAGATTGTTGGGAATATTTTATGGTGTTCAATCTAGTTAGTTATCTTTGTATTTGTGTAGTTATAAATTAAACGTGTAATACGGGCCACAAATGTGTATCAGCCCGTGGGCTTCCTTGTAACCCGTAAGTTAGCCAACTTCTCCTATAAAAGGAGGCTAACTTACGGGAACCCTAACTAATCGTGAGAGGCTTAGAAACGCAGAGGCGAGATAGAGAGAAAGATTAGGGTTGCCGCTGCTCTCCTTCTCCAGGGAGAGCAGCGGACAGTTCATACGGTATACCAGATTTGGTTATTAATCTTGTCGATTTCTTCCTATCTGCCTCTTTATAACTGCTATGTTTGTATGATTGTTTGTATTTTGGGATTAACAATTGGTATCAGAGCCGAGGCGTGAAACATGTTGGATCTGTCTGCGACCAAATGTTAATCCCAAAATACAAACAATCATACAAACATAGCAGTTATAAAGAGGCAGATAGGAAGAAATCGACAAGATTAATAACCAAATCTGGTATACCGTATGAACTGTCCGCTACTCTCCCTGGAGAAGGAGAGCAGCGGCAACCCTAATCTTTCTCTCTATCTCGCCTCTGCGTTTCTAAGCCTCTCACGATTAGTTAGGGTTCCCGTAAGTTAGCCTCCTTTTATAGGAGAAGTTGGCTAACTTACGGGTTACAAGGAAGCCCACGGGCTGATACACATTTGTGGCCCGTATTACACGTTTAATTTATAACTACACAAATACAAAGATAACTAACTAGATTGAACACCATAAAATATTCCCAACAGGTTGGGATGCTCCTCGATCTTCTTCGCGTACGACGGCATCGCGTTTGGGTGGATGCACTGCCCCCCAAACAGCGCCCACGGGACGCACCGGTAGTCCACCGAGTTGCCGCACGGCGGCATCTCGAACGGCAAGCAAACTGAATGGCCGTTGCATTCCGCCGCGCCCTTCCCCGCCAACATCACTGCCCAAACAAAAATAGAAAACATTTAATTAATTACTTAACCTGCATGCATAAATAATAATTATTATTATAATGTTGGTCAAAGCCTAGTCCTTGTTTATTTTAAACTTGTTTTATATTATCAACATGTTTTATTTAGTCAGTTGCATATTTTTAGTAGTTACGTGTGCATAGAATATGTCAAATGAACATGCATACGTATAGGAGTAGTGGTTGCTATTTTTTCTGAACTACTGGCCCCATTCTCGAGTTGTATATAGTAAGAGGTGGGGCTGGAGGTTTTTTCATCCAATTGCACCTTGGGTTTTTCCTCCATATGATAAAAGAGAAGAATACACAAGAAAGTACTCTGTGTGATTCTCGTATTGTTCTTTAGCTTCATATACTGTGAGTGTGTGTGTATTCATAACTGTGTTGCAACATGGGCTAAACATTCTACACGTGGTATCAGAGCCTGGTTATACTCAATCATGAGTACCGCATCATCTGAGAGTGAAGATGGAAACGTTGGAGACACACACCATAGCGATGACAGGGTGAAGATCCAAGATAAGGAGGGATCAGTCACTTTGAAATACCCTATGCTGACAAGGACCAACTATGCAGCTTGGGCTATCAAGATGGAAGTCTTCATGATAGCCCAAGGAGTTTGGGATGCAGTAGAGTCCTCAGAACCAGTTGATAATAGAAGGGATAAGATGGCCCTAGCAGCTATTTATCAAGGCATAGGAGAGGATACGTTGTTGCAGTTAGGAGCAAAACGAACTGCCAAGGAGGCTTGGACCATGCTTAAAACAATGAATCTAGGTGTTGAAAGGGTCAAGGAAATTAGGACTCCAGCACTATGGAGGGAATTTGATGGAATGCAGATGCATGATGGTGAAAATGTTGATGAGTTTGTAGGAAAACTACAAATTATGGTGACCAAGTTAAGAGGGCTTGGTAATGTTTTTGAAGAAGAGAAAGTGGTGAAGAAACTTCTGAGAGCAGCACCACCAAAACTCTTACAGATTGCATCCACAATTGAGGAATTCGGTGATCTGAAGGTCAAAACTACAGAAGAAATCATTGGTTCATTTAAGGCTCATGAGGAAAGAATGAAAGTTCCTCATGTGGAAGAAGGAGAAACTGTGTTGTTGTCTAGAGCAGAATGGGAGAACTTCAAATCACAAACCAGGAGCAGTAGAGATCCAACTACATCAAGAGGAAGAGGTAGAGGTCGTGGCAGAGGGAGAGGAAGTGCAGGCTTACATGGAGACAAGGAAAAATCCAAACAGAAGAAAAAATTTGACAAATCCAAAATAAAATGTTATGCATGTGGAAAGATGGGCCATTTTGCATCTGAATGCCAATCTGATAATCAAGTAGAAGAAGTCCACTTGGCTGAAGATGATGAATCAGAACAACCCTCTTTGATGATGATTGAGATCTGTGAGCTGACCAAATCTCACAACTCACAGAATGTAGACAGTTTGCATGATGAAGGCAAAGAGGACACTACAGAATCCTGGTGGTACTTGGACACTGGGGCAAGCAACCATATGACACGTAACAAAGGCTACTTCTCAGAACTTGATACATCTGTACATGGAAATGTTAGGTTTGGAGATAATTCTATGATAGATATACAAGGGCAGGGGACTGTGTTATTTCAATGTAAAAATGGGGAACACATGATCTTGTCCAATGTATACTTCATACCGAAGTTGAGAAGCAATATCATAAGTCTAGGACAACTTGATGAATCTGGGAGTCAAGTTGTTATAAAGGAAGGAACACTGAAGATCTATGATGAGTCAAACAGGCTTATGATCAAAGTACAAAGAAGACACAACAAACTGTTCACAGTGAATATGAAAATTGCTCAGAAGATATGCTTATTGACAAGCATAGAGAGGCAAAGCTGGTTATGGCACGCTAGGTATGGACATCTTAACTTTCAGGCACTAAAGAAGCTTACAAGTCAAAAGATGGTAGAAGGTATGCCTGAAATCACTCAAAGCAATCAAGTCTGTGATGGTTGTATGATAGGAAAGCAACACAGAACAAGATTTCCTCAGAATGCAGTGTTCAGGGCAAAGGAGAAGCTTGAATTGGTTCATGGAGACTTATGTGGACCAGTCACGCCACCTACACCTGGAGGAAATAGTTACTTTATGCTTTTAGTAGATGACTATTCATGCTATATGAGGATATCATTGCTAAAGCACAAGAGTAAGGCATTTGAGGCATTCAGAAAGCTAAAGCAAAAGATGGAAAATGATGCAAATAAGAAACTGAGATGCCTGAGGACTGATAGGGTAGGTGAATTTAACTCTCAAGAGTTCAAAAGCTTCTGTGAGAATGCAGGAGTAACAAGGCAATTGACTGCACCATACTCACCTCAACAAAATGGTGTGGTGGAGAGGAGAAACCAAACTGTCATGGAAATGACAAGGAGCTTAATGAAGAGAAAGTGCATGCCTGCAAAGTACTGGGGAGAAGGAGTCAACATCTCAGTATATCTTCTGAATAGGGCTCCAACTAAAAGTGTAGAGGGTATGACACCCTATCAAGCTTGGCATGGCAAGACTCCAAATATAAAGCACCTGCGTGTGTTTGGATGCTTGGCACATGTTAAGATTGTAAAACCATATCTTAACAAGCTAGATGATAGGAGTATCAAGGCTGTTTTACTTGGTTATGAGGAGGGGTCCAAAGCCTATAGGCTGCTAGATCCGGTCAAAGAAAGAGTTCTAGTAAGCAGAGATGTGAAGTTTGAAGAAGATAAAGGTTGGAGCTGGGAAAGAAAAGAAGACAAACATGAAGGGGAGGATAAAGATGTGTTCACAGCTCATGTGAATGGAAAGGAACAAAATGAGGGGATGAACCCCCCAACACCAAGCTCATGGAATGAACAATGAGACAATGTGTATCCCTCACATGAGTCTTCTGTGAATACACCCAGATCCCACACTAGCACCAACTCAAGTGAAGGACCTCTACATTTCAGATCTCTACAAGAGATCTATGATGCAACTAGGGAAGAGAATGAGGAACTGAGTTTGTGTTTTCTGTCTATAGAAGAACCAAGTAATTATTCAGAAGCTGCAGGTCAGGAGGAATGGAGACAGGCAATGGCACTTGAAATTGACTCCATTCAGAAAAATGAAACTTGGGAGATGACAGATCTACCCAACAAACACAAGGCCATAGGTTTGAAATGGGTCTACAAGTTGAAGAAAGATCCAGAAGGCAACATCATAAAATATAAGGCCAGACTGGTGGCAAAAGGCTACATACAGAAATATGGAGTGGATTACACTGAAGTGTTTGCACCAGTAGCTAGAATAGAGACAATCGGAACTCTAATGGTCCTTGCAACCCACAAGGAGTGGGAAGTTCATCATCTAGATGTGAAAACTGCATTCCTTAATGAAGAGCTAAAAGAGGAGGTGTATGTAATGCAACCAGAAGGTTTCATTCATTAGAAGAATCCAAAGAAGGTGTTAAAGCTACATAAGGCCCTGTATGGACTAAAGCAAGCTCCTAGGGCTTGGAATGAAAAACTTGACAAATGCTTGAAGGCATTAGGATTCAAGAAATGCATGTTTGAATATGCAGTGTATATGAAGAGAACTGGAGAGTATATCACAATTATTGGAGTATATGTTGATGACATAATCCTCACAGGATCATGTTCTAAGCTCATCAAACTATTCAAGGAAGAGATGATGGGGCAGTTTGAGATGAGTGATTTGGGGCTTCTATGCTACTATCTGGGCATAGAAGTAAAACAAAGCAAGGAGGCTGTCAGTTTATGCCAATCAGGTTATGCAAAGAAGATATTGGAGAAAATGGGGATGAGTAGTTGTAATCCATATAGCACTCCCATGGAGCCAAGGTGCAAGTTCAGCAAGTATGATGGGGAACTTACTGTGGATCCTACTATATACAGAAGCATCATTGGGAGTCTAAGGTACCTCGTGATCAAGATGTCGAGATGCAAATCTCGAGATCTTGATTTCGTGATTCAAATCTCGAGATCAAGATGTCGAGATGCAAATCTCGAGATCAAGATTTCGAGATTCAAATCTCGAGATCAAGATGTCGAGATGCAAATCTCGAGATCAAGATGTCGAGATGCAAATCTTGAGATCAAGATGTCGAGATGCAAATCTCGAGATCTCAAAAGTCGAGAAGAAGAAAACGAGTCCCTAAATGTCGAGATCATGCAAAACGAAAACATTGATTTTTGAAAATCTGAAACCTGTTCTGAATAGCCCCGAAAGTCGAGATTCTCCTGTATCAGTTTCAAGCCAAAAACGTTTCTGCAGCAGTGAAAAATAAGGATTTCGAGATCTCAATGTAGAGATCTTCGAAATATAAAAATTGCAGAAAACGAAAAAAAAGGTATGCTGCTGGATCGGTTTTGAAAGGCGAGTCCAACAGTATGATTTTTACAAAATTTCGTTCACAAACGAGATTACAGGAGCAAATCTCTACATATAGAAAAACAGAAGAAAAAAAAACAGAGCAGTTCTTCGTTAGATCCAAAAATCGTAGACAGATCCAACCTGTTTCACGCCTCGGCTCTGATACCAAATGTTAATCCCAAAATACAAACAATCATACAAACATAGCAGTTATAAAGAGGCAGATAGGAAGAAATCGACAAGATTAATAACCAAATCTGGTATACCGTATGAACTGTCCGCTGCTCTCCCTGGAGAAGGAGAGCAGCGGCAACCCTAATCTTTCTCTCTATCTCGCCTTTGCGTTTCTAAGCCTCTCACGATTAGTTAGGGTTCCCGTAAGTTAGTCTCCTTTTATAGGAGAAGTTGGCTAACTTACGGGTTACAAGGAAGCCCACAGGCTGATACACATTTGTGGCCCGTATTACACGTTTAATTTATAACTACACAAATACAAAGATAACTAACTAGATTGAACACCATAAAATATTCCCAACACAACCTGTGCCAGGCCGTCGCCGACTGCCTCCGCAAGGGAAGCGGCAACCACTGTGCTCGCTACCCCATCCCACACATCCATTACGGCTGGTGCATTGCCGACTCCATCGGTGCTTCTTTCTTGGATATGGTCACCGCCGCCACTAACTAACTCCGGTGCATGCTTCTAGCTCGTACGTACCTGCGGCCACGTCACTACTGCATGCTACATACTGCTCGAATAAATTAATTAAGATCCTACTTTGATCAATAAATATGTATGTTTGTCCCGGCCGGCCTGCATTGATTAAGCTTCATTGGTTTTTCTTGTAGCTAGGCGTTTTCCTACGTTGTTTAATTAGTGTATGCATGCATCTGGTGTTCTTTGTCCATGTCCTCCGTTTACATTTCCATATATTTTCTTCGCATAGACCCGAAAAATAAGAAAAAACACACATTAAGCTATTCATATAATAGCTGTATCAGTTTTTACCAAAATAAGAGGATCATATTAATTTAGGAAAAAAAGAAGAGGAAATTACCAAAATACAGGATATTCCCGTCTCACAAGGCAAAATGCGGGACTTCCACTAAATTACGGGGTCGGATTTGCCAAATCCGACTAGGGGAGGGCTTCCAAATTAGGAGTGAATACCCTGTCGGAATTGGGCAATCCGACAAGAGTATTCAAAAGTAATAATTCGTTGCTAACTTTCTACTAATAGATACATCCCTTGTCAGAATTACATAATCCGACTAGGAGATAAAATATCTTGCTTTTTATTGCGTTTTCATTGAGTTGAGGAGCAGGATTGGGATGAAGAACATCATGGATTGAAGAAAAAAATGAAAACAAATTTAAGGGGGTGAGTGTTGGTCAAAGCCTAGTCCTTGTTTATTTTAAACTTGTTTTATATTATCAGCATGTTTGATTTAGTCAGTTGCATATTTTTAGTAGTTACGTGTGCATAGAATATGTCAAACGAACATGCATACGTAAAGAAGTAGTGGTTGCTATCTTTTCTCAACTACTTGCCCCATTCTCGAGTTGTATATAGTAAGAGGTGGGGCTGGAGGTTTTTTCATCCAATTGCACCTTGGGTTTTTCCTCCATATGATAAAAGAGAAGAATACACAAGAAAGTACTATGTGTGATCCTCGTATTGTTCTTTAGCTTCATATACTGTGAGTGTGTGTATTCATAACTGTGTTGCAACCTGGACTAAACATTCTACATATAACAACATGGGTTGGCTAGTTTATTAGTTGCATATACTATGTATATAGTATACATAAACGCTACGTACAGGCAGATGCGGGGAAGAAAACAGCGAAATGAGCAAAGTGCAGCTGCTGCTTAGAAGCCATTGTTTTTCTTTCTTTTTTTATCAGTCTCTCACTCACTACACACTCTTTGCATGCTTCATCTGCCTATTTCAGTTCGCTATTTATAGGCATGCGCGAGTAAATGTGGCGCGTAATGGATCGGCTTCACGAGAATTCAATTTGTTCGAAAAGAGAGCGAATCTTTTCACTGCTTTTAATAAAAAAAATGACACTCCATCCTTGAGGGCTTTCAATCCTACGGAATGGTACGTTGGGAGGATATAAATTGGATTATAATATCAATCTGACAGATAGAGAATGGGATTCTGTTCCCGGTACTTGCAGAGGCCCTATTCATTTTTAGCATACTAACTCCTCATTCCAATTGACGAGATTCGAACCCGGAACATAACTCTTGTGACACTACCTTCGTACCCGTTGAGCTAGGCACACGGATATAATGCTTTTAATTCATTTATCTTCGATGGATCGAATCATGCATGTAACGTGTACCCAGCTAATAACTCGTGGACTCATAACCCGATGGAATCTTTTTCATGCCATTCCCTGTGGGCTGTGTCTCGTCCAATCATGCATGTACGTGGCTTCAGCTAACTGGATGATCGATTGATAAATCCTATGGAGTATGGAGTATTATCCTAAAGGACCCTCCATTGCATATCTTATCTCTGCAACATCCGTACGTTAAAATCCTTATTCCATCATGAATGCCACACTGTAGCTCTAACCTTTCCAATTTATTTACTTTCATGTTTATATTTCAAAATTCATATTATCATCTTTTTAAATTGTAGCTGTCCGTCACTAATATCATTCATTCTCTATTTGTAAAAAATTAAAAAAAAAAAAGATTTTGACAATTTCAAATGAGTGGAATTTAATTTTTTTATTTTTAAATTTATTTATATTTCATTATTAGATAAAATACAGTTGGCATGTGAATAATGCAAAAAACTAATCAATATATATATATATATATATATATATATATATATATATATAAGATGAACTTTTTAAGAGCATACAAAGCGCCACATAATCTTGTCATGTCATTATAAAGTTGACCGGCACGGAGAATAAAAAAGTAAAAATTGTGTGGTTGAGGTTTGTGTACAGGAGATAGTAATAATAGAAACCACAAAATAATTGATTAAAAGGGAAAATGACAAAATTTTTTGGGACGTCCTAAAAGAGAAAGATGACAAAGTTTGAAGGAACGGAAAGAGTATATAACAATTATTACTTATTTTTATACCTTTTGTTTTTATTAGATTCTATTTTTGATTTCATATTGATATGGAAACAAAAATCCTTATAAATCCACCTTAATTAATTTGGTAAGCTTCAAATAAGTAAAATAATTTTTGGTTATCAAAGTGAAATTCTAATAACGTTTAATGATATGGAAACTAATTTATATTAGTTTACTAAACCGAATTAAATAGAAACAAATATACAAATTAGTTTACTTATTAATTTGACAACTATTAATAAATTAGTAAGCTTCAAATAAGTAATTATTTAAAAATGAAATTAAAAATTATAATCAACATAAAATATTTTTTTTTTCAAAAGTAAATATGTTTAGCTTAGCCAAATAAATAATTTTTTTTGGTTGTTTCTTTATTTTACACCTAAAATTCAAATATGCCTTCACTTTTGAAATAGATTCCTAATCCAAATTGGAAAATCTTTATAGGTTTACGAATTCCTACTTTTATTTTAATAGAATGTTTTTAATTGGATTGATTTCAGTTCCAGATTAAATCTTGTCATATCAAACTTTAATAATTGTTGAAGACTATTTATTGTGAATCAAGTTTGTCTGTCTCGTCTGTAATAAGTTAGATGTTTACTATTTCTATTCTGTACTGATTAAATATATCTGTTACAATAGTATACAATATGGGCCAAGTGTTAGGCCCATACTCAGGCAAGAAGCCTTTGTACGCATACCTGAGCCTCGCCTATAAAAGAGGGAGGAGGACTCAGGTTTGCGGTTAACTTTCGTATCTGCTCAAAATAGCCTTAGCGCTTATCATTCTTGTACGAAAGATTCACGGTATATCAGAGAAGGTTTTCACTTGATCTTTCTGTGTTCATCTTTATTGTTAATCTTTCATCTGTATGCCATATTATACTGTTGTTATAGAAAACAGGGAACAACAAATGGTATCAGAGTCGATCGAGAGCTGATCAGAAGAACTATCTGCGAAAGACTCTGTTTTTATAGAATAGCGAGTTTATCATCTGTAATCTTATTTCTGCACCGAATACTGTAAAAGTTATACTGTTAGAATCGCGTTTCAAAGACGATCAAGCAGTATATCTTCCTTTTTCGTTTCTGCAATTTTTCTTCAGAAGTAAACTCGCACCCTTGAACTCGCACCCCTCGTTTCTCTAAGCTCTGTGCAGCTTTTTGACCTGAAACTTGGGTAAAAGGATCTCTACTACAAGGGCTACAACCTACCATATTTGTATTTCTGAAAATCTGAAGTTTTATTTTTTCAGGAATTCGCAGCCAGGTGTTTTTGCATAAACTCGCAGTCTGTAAACTCGAGTTGAGAAACTCGCAGCCTGCAAACTCGAGCTCAAGAACTCGCAGCCTACAACTCGCGGTCAACAACTCGCACTCAACAAACTCGCAGCCTGCAAACTCGCAGCCTGACCACGAGTTTTGACCCTGCGAGTTTAGACCTCGAGTTCTTAGAAACTCGAACTCTTGACCTCGAGTTCACAAACTCGAACTCTTGACCTCGAGTTCACAAACTCGAACTCTCATCTTGAGTTCCCCAGACCTCGAGTTTAGGCCTTGAACACTCAGGAACTCGAGTTCTTGACTTAGTAAATTTTCTGATCTTATTTCTCGAACGGTCAGTTTTCTACAGCAACAGGAATGGCTTCTGAATCTAATGCGCAAGGAAACAACAGTACTCCTCCATCTCTGAGGAAAGGGGAGTACCAAATGTGGAGAACTCGTTTCTTGAATTTCCTAGAACACAAAGAAAACTCCGACGCAATGCTGGAATCACTCCTGGAAGGACCAGCTGTACTAATGATTGACGTAGGAGGGGACTCAACAAATAATCCACTCATTCCTCCTGAAACAAGACGAAAGAGGCCTTCTGAATACACTGAAGCAGACAAGCTAAGGCTGAGAGGGGACCTCATGGCCAAAACATACCTTCTCCAAGCCATCCCAAATGAAGTGTATGTGATGATTGACAGTATGCAAACTGCAAAAGAAATGTGGGACGAGATTGAAAAATTACTCCAAGGCACGAGCATAAGCCTAAAAACAAAGAAATCTGCTATTTTGATGGCTTATGACTCGTTCAAGGCTGCTCCTGGAGAACCTCTTCACGAGACTCATGCCAGGCTTGTGAAGTTGATGAATGAAATGAGGAAAATCAAAATATTCAGAACCAACCTGGAACTGAATACTAGATTTCTGTCCAGTCTGCACCCATCTTGGAGTAAAACAGTAAAAGACTTGAGACAACGCATTGACATGGATGAAATTGATCTCTTCACCTTGAATGAGCTGCTAAAGGAGTTCGTCAATGACGTTGTATGCACTGAGGAACAATCAAGCCCAAATCCTCTAGCTCTACTAATGGAAGCTCAGCCCAAAAGAGCGTCGAAACCTCTGCAGAAGAAGAAGAAGAAAGTAGTAGAGGTTGAATCTGATGAAGATGAGAGTGATGAAGAAGGAACTGATCTTGAAGCTGAGCTTGCAGATCTCCAGAAGAAGATGGCACTGCTGGCCAAGAAGTTTGCCAAGAGAAACAGCTCTTCAAATAAGCTGCGAACCTCTTCTTCCAACTACAAACAAAAGAACCAGAACCAAAGCTCAGCCAGGAAGGCTACATCAACTGCTAATGCCCCTGTGTGCTATAACTGCGGGAAGCCTGGACACATCAGCAAAGACTGTCGGCTCCCAAAGAAGAGAGATGCAAACTTCTACAAACAGAAGATTCTAATGAATAAACAAAAGCTCTTCTTAGCACAACAGGAGGAAACAGAAACCTCTGGCAAACATGCAGAGCTAGTCCAGTGGGCGGAAGATGATTCTGAAGAAGAAGAAGAAGAGGAAGAGAACTTCGCCTTGATGGCAAGGCTGGAGGATGAAGAAGAGAAAAAGGGTGATGCTGCGATCCCCGGAAGTGAATGCTCTACAAGCACTGTAAGTACCTCTAATCACTCTCACACTATACAAACTCAGTCCTTACACAATAAGGACCACCTCATTAAAGAACTGCAGGAGAGATTAGACAATAATTACAGGGTACTGAAACAGAACCTTGACCAAAAATCTTCCTTAAGCGTTCAACTTGAAAATGCCAAAGATCAAATCAAAAGGGTGTCCTCAGACTTTGAAAGCTTTGAACTTAAAATAGCTGAACTAACTAAGAAACTGCAAGACAGTGAAGTTGAGAAAAACACAGCTAAAGCTGACTGTGAATTTTTAAGAAATAAAAGAAGCAGTCTTTTAAGCAAAGTAAAGGAACTTGAGGATGTATGTGTCAGAAGAGGTCAAACCGAACACACAGTTTTTCTAAATCGTATAAGCGACGTTCAGCATTACAACCCAAAAGCTGGTCTTGGACTACCGAACCCGCGTCATTTAAAGAAAGTTGACTGTCGTCAGTTGTATGATGCAACTTACTTGACTCTAGACATTGATAAGAAAATGAAATTTGGGGGTGAAGAAGAAACCACTAAAGAAGAAGTAGAGAAAAGGAGTAATCCTAAAATTGAAACCTCTTTTGACTATACTCCTCTGGTTGAGAAAGCTCTTTCTAAAGAAAAGGTAATCTACAACGAGGAGGGGTTTGATATTTTTAATGTCCCAAAAGGGGTTCCATATTACGAAAGTCCAATGGGTCCCACTCCTAAAACTGGAATTTTTAAGTCTGGACAGGACAAGTGCATCTCTCCACTGGTTCAAAAATATGCAGGTCTTCAGAAAACCCTTGAAAATGAGAGAGAGCGTTTTGAAACTGAAAAGAAAAGTTCTGAAAGCAACTGGCAAGAACTATTAAGCAAATTTGATGAATTAAGTGAAAAATATC